ATATATATATATATATATATACATACACATACATACATTGAATTATAAATGGTGTTTGGCATTTTCTTCATAAAGTAAAGTAGAGTAGAGCAGTTACCTCTTGGAATCTGAGGGGAACTGGCTCTAGGATACACCATGGATACCAAATATCAAGGGTGTTCAAGTCCCTCATGTAAAAGTGCTCCTTGTGGGAATGTCATGCATCGTGCTTACCCAAATTCATTGGCATAGGTCAGTCACTTCATGTGGTGTCTTGTTAGTTGGGCACCGTAGACATGAGATGCATGAAGCTGTTGCTGGCATGACAAATCATCCTGTTTTACAGTAATTGTTTTTAATAAGGAAAACACTACAATAATGCTAAAAGGTATTGCCCATTTAATACATAAACCAGTAAAATAATCATTTATTATCATGATCAAGTATTATATACTGTATATAACTGTAATGCTGGTACTTTGGTGTGACTGGTGGGTTTGTTTACTCCAGCATCAGTATAAATGCATGAGTAATGCCTTCTGCTACCACTTGGCAGTGGTTTTGACACCATCCAATGATAGGAATTTTCTAGCTTCATAGTAGTCTTGTGGAACCCTAACCCTACATGTGGTCCCTCCTCACTGGTAATGTCCTCTGTGACATGTGCTGTAAATGCAAATCCCTGGGGTGGTCCTGCGTGCTTGCGGGTGATCCCAGTGTATAGCTGACATTGGAGAGCCATGGTTTAAATGTTCAGGCAAATTAGCCTATTTTCCTCCATTCCCATTCTTCATATTACAGATCAAGTTTCACGCCAAGCCAGCCAATACACATTTGTAAGCCCAGCTACTTGGGTGGCTGAGGCAGGAGGATTGCTGAGTGAGGCCAGCCTGTGTAACAGCATGAGATTTCACCTCTAAATAAATAAATGAAGCTTCATGTTTGCAGTAGAAAACTCAAACAGCTGTATCACCTTTTAAAATTGTTGACGAGTTTTGTGCACACATAATCATTATAGACATCACACTGAGACATGCATCCATGAAGGTCTGTGCTGTATATATTACGCCACTCAGGGATAGCATGCATTTTTTACTTTATGGGATGCTTTCATGATCAGTTTATGGGTTAAGCTGATCTTTAAGATTAAAGTTCCCTTTCTTTAGTGTGTGTGATTTCCTTAATCTGGGGATCCTGATCCTAGGCTCAGTCCAGGAGTAACTTGCAGACCACAATTTTCCTTTTTCGAGAAATGATGCTTCAAGGACAGGAAAGAACAGCTTTAGGGTCAGACTGATCTGGGATGAGGTGGACAATTGATTATTCATATAAACTTTCAGGGGTCTTGCTGTGAATTGCTGTGTCCTCCTGCCTCAGCCTCCCAAGTGTTGGGATTACAGGTGTGAACCAGCACAATTGGCTTTGGTGTAAACACTTTTAACTCTGTTCCTCTGACAGGTAGAGATAAAGAATGCTTCCTTGGGCATTATACAGTGTATCTAATATCAGTGACCACTGTATCAGTCAGTATTTACCAGAGAAACAGATCAAACACAAGATATACAAATATATATGAATTTACAAGATTGGCTTAACAGAGTCAGATGAGGAAGAGTCCAGAGGATCTGTCTGCACACTGGAGACTGCAGGACTTAGTTGTAGGTCTGGAGCTTTCTGCAGTGTCCCCTGCTGTGTCTGTATCAGGAGGCTGATGGGTGTGCAATGGAAGGCTGAGAGTCTGTGCCTAAAGGCCGAGGGATCCACTCTGGAAGCCAGAGAATGCATTAGAAGGCAGGACATGACTTTCAAGGCAAAGACTGGAGCTCCTGCCAAAGAATAGGAGTGGCAGTGTCCTTCCTCATTTCCAGGCAGTCATCACCCTAGGGTGGGTCTTCCACACCCTAGGGTGGTAGAAGAGCTGCCCTGGAGTGGATGTTCTGTGCCCTAAGGTGTGGAGCTGCTGAGCTGATTCAGCTAAGCTTCTCTTACCCAAACTTCTCAAGATGACACAATCACTCAACCATCACAGACATGTAGCTGTTACGATAATATTTGCAGAGGAACTTGAAATGGTCCATAGGTTCCTCAGAGTTTGTGTGTTCCTGTTAATTAGCAGGTGGAGAAAGCAAGGAAAGTTAAAAAAAAAAAAAGGTGCACCTGCTACTGACAAAAGTTTAAAGGCTCTAATGCATCAGGAATGCTATTTTCATTTGCTTGGACTTGGAATCGAGTTCAAGGCCATGAACTAGGCCTATTGGCCTAGACATACTCATACTGTGTGTACGGTTTATATGTAGATGTTCCTCAAATGCTTCATGTGCTCTTGGGCAGGGCTTTTGTAAGAAAATTGGACCAAGGGTGCTGTAGCTGATTTGCTGCTAGGAGGTCTGGTCTATAGAGGTGGTCACTGAAGGTGTGGCCTAGAAGGGTGTTTCTCCCTGCTGGACTCCTCTCTTCCTCCTCTGGTTCATGAAAGGAGCAGCTTTCCTCCACCCACACACTTCCACTGTGCTGCAATCATGCAAGATTGCAACTTCTGAAACATGAGCCAAAGTAAACCTCTTTTCTTTTAAGTTGTGCATGGTATTTTGTTCCAGGAATGAGCAAAGTGACTAAAACACCATAAAAAAAAAAAAAAA